AAAGCTTTCAAGTGGACATCTAGATGCAACAATGGGTTTCTCCTCGTCCAGAGCAAAGAACAAGGAAGAAAACAAGACACATGGAAACAATCAGTCCAAGGGACTAGTGGACCATTTGAACCTCAGCTGACTATATGACCATGAAACCAGAAACCTAGATGGTACCCAGCTACCAGTGTCAACCACTTGGAAAGTGATCAGTGAGATCCTGGATAGAGTGGGAGAACAATGTGGAACAAAACTCAGAATCATAATAAAGACTAGGTTTACTGGTTTGACAGAGCCTGGTGAGACCCTTGAGACTATGGCCCCTAGTTACCCTTCAGGTCTGGAATTGAACTCACTCCCATGACTTCCAGACAAAACCATAGACAGGCATATATGGTGCACATGTACATCTGGCAGATACACTCTCTAGAATGATCAATCATGGGATAACAAAAAGGCAGTATTTATATAGGGAGACAGCTCAGGGGGCAGAAATGCAAAGGAAAGAAGCACACAGCGAAGAGCTAACTACCGGGAGGAAGCAGGAACAGAACTGATACACTGTGGGGAATTATAGTCAATGTCATGAAACAAAATGTATATGAACTGTTGTACGGAAAATGAATTTGCTCTGTAAACTTTCACCCAAATCACAAAAATTAAAAAACAAAACAAAACTACCTAACAAAAAAGAAAGTATTAAAAATATTAAAATCAAAAAAGGGAACTTTTCCCAAGGTAGTGATGGATTGTGTTTATCAATACATTCACATTCCCATCCTGCCCACATGTAACCAAAGGAATTTCCATCCAAGAGACTGGTCAGGAATATGGACTTTTTTTAATACAGAGATCACGAAGCTAGTGTATACCAGGGTCAAACGTGACATTGTAGTTTCAAGAGAATGATGTTCTACAACTAACCTAAGTATTACCAACATTTTGGCCTGGTTTAATGGTAATTTTGGCCATTTTCTTTATATCTAATTGATCATTAAATCATACTGTTTCTTTAAAATTCTCAGAAATCTTATTTATTATAGAATTTAATCCTAACAATTAAAACCAAAAGGCTACCTTTACTTACATTACCTTTTCATTTGCAGATTCAATGCATTTCTGCTTTTCACTTGAGAGTTGTGATATTTCAGCCTGATGAGCTACAACAATTGCATCGACTTGTTTTTTAAAGGCATCATCCATACTCTGCAGTTTTTCTAGAGCATTCCTTAAAAACAAATAATACCATATGTGTCTATATAAATTAGGATGTTTTTTCCTCTCAAATGGCAGCTCTTATGTTCATATTTTAATGGAAACATAATTCAATATTAAGAAAATAGCAAAGGGCTACTACCATAGGGTAACTAAAGATAAAAGTAGTTCATCATCCAGCAGAATCTGTTAGACAAAAGCAGGACCAAGGCAAAGGTAACATCACTGGATGCTTATTATTACACTTTCACTCTGAAAATTAGAATATCCTGTTGTCCCATTTATTTTGAGGCTAAGGGTATATTTTGTAAGTTCTTTCATAGGTGATTACTATCAATCTTCTTCTCCATGTATTTGCAATGTGGTAATAATCTGAGAAGTGTATATTAGATAGTCTTAAATAAATGAACATGTATGTCTGATTTTTCTATGTTAATGGTTACCAGACAAAATTCTGTCAATGAACAAATTAAAAAGGATTAAAAAATTTTAGTATTAAAATTATCTTAAAGGCAAAAAAAAACCCAATTCATTTTCCTGAGCTTCTCCTTCACAGTCATTCACTAAGTCTGGAATCCAGAGAAGAAAA